ATGCTTCTGGAAAGTATCTGGTAGGCTTTGCGGGAACAGAGCAACAACTCAGTTCGACTCAAGATACTTTGAGTTGAAATGAGCAAGAATCTGGTTGAGAATCTATGTGAAAAACAGGATCAAGACACAGCTGAGCATAGCAGACATTGGGAAGTTGGGTTTGAGGTACCAAAAGCAAAAATCAATTGTTCTGCAAGATTAGGAGAGGGATGGTGTATGCACTTCCTTTGCTGGAGGAACCCACCAAGAACATTAAAAAAAACACTGTGGGAGATGAAAATATAGTCCCTCTTCACATAAAAAGATGAGGCTGGAGCAAACCTGAACTTTATACTATTTCACAATACGAACGTACTATTTGTAATCTGCTGAGCTTTGTGCAATATGAAATTGTGAAGTAGATAGTTCTATGTATATTTGGAACATGAGTATTGTAACCGTGGGAAAAAGTCAGAGGACCATCTGACGACCGTCTTAGAACGAGAAAGGGTAAAAAAGGTTGGGGCTGGACCTGATTGATTTGCCATTGGCCTATAGCTGTCCTATTGGATTCTGCTATGTCATATGGTCCTCATTGCAATGGGTTATTAATGTACGTGATGGTGTGTTATTATGCTTGATATGTTCCAAATTATTAGCAAAATAAATCTCTGAAGTTTAAAGTAAGAATTATTGTTTTGTATTGCTGTCTCTTGTCTTTTTCATTGGGTTTTTCCACAACAACACAAAAAAATGAAGGTAAATATGTACATGTCCCAGGATAATGTTGCAGGATCCAGTCTGGGTCAGTCACCAGGACCAGAAGTTTAGTCTTGTGAGCTTCTGGACTCGTGCTGGAGTCCATCTTCAGGGAACTTCTCTCTAGCTGGAGAAGTTCCTCAAAGATGGGCTCCAGCACGAGTCTGAAAGCTCAGAAGACAAAACCTTTGGTCCTGGTGACCGACCCATATTGGATCCTGCAAAAAAAAAAAAAAAAAACCCCAAGGTTTAAATGTGTAACATGATATTTTATGTCTAAAAATATATCAGTTCTTCCATATTCATTACATTAGTCCCTTTTGGGAAGCAACTTTATGCAAATCTTAGAAAAAGAGTAAGATATAATGGACAAATAAAATAAAATAAAGGCAGGAGATGGAAGAAATGGAAACCTAAACCTAGTTGATGCCAACACCATTCACTCTTTTTCTTCACTATCATTGTTTCCACCCCTTTCCATAGACCACTCCCTACATTCTTTAAATATCTCATCTCTCCCTTTTTCAACATCATGTTCCTCACATGTAATCATGATCTTCCTTTTTCTCTGAACACATTTCCTCTTTCTTCATATATTTGTTTTACATTTTGATCCTTATTAGCACTCTTTCTGACCAAGTCAGAAAGCTAACTCTACTTTATTATTGAACTACATTAACAGACTCTTACCAATTTGAAAGTATTTCTCTACCCCATCCTCTTTACAGCCCCCAAAGGGAGGATCTCTTCCGAGCCCCTTGGCCCGGCCACATTCCTGCTGCAAGCTCATCTGCTTCTCACATGACCACTCTCCCTTAGCTGTACCTGTCTCCCAAGGTTTTTTCCAATACCATCACAGTACTCAGAAGATACTTTTTTTAGTAGATACTCACCAAACACCACTCATTCATTCTTGGGTCTTTCAGTGACCTGCTTATATATCCTCTTTACTTTCTTGCATTATTCCCCAAATGCATTCATATCACTTAACACTTTCCTCTAGATCACAATTATTCAGAATGTTGCAGTTTTTCTCAGAAGTGATTCCTATTTATTTCAGTATCAACATTCCCTGAAGCATAACATGCAGCTATTCTCAAGCTACAGATTTCTGCTTTCATATGTACCCACGACAACCTTGA